TCCTTTTCATGGATTTATGAAAATATTTAACGTTATCCTAATTTGCTTTTAAAAATAACACCATCTATATTTATAGCACTAGTAAAAATACGTTTTTTCCCGCAAATTCAAGGAAAGGTGAAATCACGACTAGCAGAGCCATCTATGGACAGAGATATTTCACAAAAATATAAAAAATGAGTTTTGCATTTTCCCTATTTTTTGTTCATTTTCCCCGGCGGCAATGGGTTAAAATAAAAAGATCTACACATCTTAATAAAACACATTAAATAAAGTGAGATACACCTAGGTAAGAAAATATAGCATAACCAATACCAACTTACAAATGTTTATGCTAAAAATCTAAAAATTCCAAATGGTTGTAGTATCTGATACTTCTGTTTCCAACTGTTATGTTAATCATAAAAACACTCAAGCTTTCACTCTCTTGTACTCACTGAAAGAAATGCACAACACAATTCGAGGTACACAAAACCATACAAAATACACAAAGAAGCACATACATACAAACATCAATGCACAGTTTATGTAAAATTGTATAATCCTCAGACAAGCCATCAAAAGTATTTAAAAATGTAGTATCATGAATATTTTTTCCAATCAATGTACCATTCAGTGAAACAACACATTTTAAACCATCATCATCACTTAAAAAAAAAAAAAAATAGTAAATAAAATTGACACTTACTACTGCTTCTGAAAGTCACCATGCCACAAAACAATTAGGATCATGCATGTCCAATAACAAATGGTAGAATAAGGAAGGATAACTTGCATAATTACTGACCAATGGTTGAATGTTTACACAAGATTTATAACCCAGGGTAAAAATTCATTTACTTACCAACACACATATCCTTCTCCTTGATGTAACCCTCAGCACATTTCTCACACATGTCTGGTCCATCTCCAGTGCATCCATCACAAGCCTTATCACATTCTAAAAAGGAAATGGGTTTGTAATTCATCTGTACTTATTAATCATTTACAAAAAAATATATAATATGGTGGGTAGTGGTGAAAAGAGTAGGAGGAGGAGCAGCAATTTGCAAGTAAGACAACGAAGGAAAGTTCAGGAAAAAACACAAATATGCCAAAGGTCTTTTCCATTTACTGCTCCATCAGTGGACATGGAAGCAATAAAGCGAAAAGACCTTCGGCATATTCACGTGTTTCCCTGTATATTTCTTTATTGTTCTACTTACAATTTGTTAGACAAGAAATTCAAAAGAGGAGGAGGAGGAGGGGGAATACAAGGAGGAGGAGGATGACATAGAGGAGGAGGAGGAGGAGGTGGAAGACAAGGAGAAGGAAGAAAACAAAGAAGAGGTAGAGGTGGAGGAGGAGAAGGATGACGAAGTGGAAGAGAAAGAAGACAAGAGGAGGAGATGAAAGACAAAGAGGACGAGGAGGAGGATGAAGAGTAAGACGAAGAGGGGGTGGAGGAGGAGGAGGAAGAGGAGGTGGAGGAGGAAAGTGAAGAGGGAGGGGAGGAGGAGGAGGACGATGACAAAGAAGAGGAGACAAAGGAAGACAAAGAGAAAGAGGAGGAGGAGGAGGAGGAGGAGGAGGAGGAGGAGGAGGAAGGAGACAATGAGAGGGAGGAAGAGGTGGAGGAGGAGGAAGACAAAGAGGAGGAGGAGGAGGAGGAAGACAGAGAGGAGGAGGAGGAGGAAGAAGACAAAGAGGAGGAGGAGGAGGAAGAAGACAAAGAGGAGGAGGAGGAGGAGGAAGACAAAGAGGAGGAGGAGGAGGAGGAAGACAAAGAGGAGGAGGAGGAGGAGGAGGAAGATAAAGAGGAGGAGGAGGAGGACAAAGAAGAGGAGGAGGAGGAGGACAAAGAAGAGGAGGAGGAGGAGGAGGAAGACAAAGAAGAGGAGGAGGAGGAGGAGGAAGACAAAGAGGAGGAGGAGGAGGCAGACAAAGAAGGGGGAGGAGGAGGCAGACAAAGAAGGAGGAGAAAGAAGAAGGAGGAAGACAAAGAAGGGGGAGGAAGAAGAAGGAGGAAGACAAAGAAGGAAGAGGAGGAAGAAGACAAAATTGAGGAGGAGGAAGACAAAAAGGAAGATGACAAAAAGAAGTAAAAAACAAAGAGAAGACAAAAAGAAGAGAAACAAAAAAACAAGGAGGAAAAAGACCAAAAGGAGGAGAAAGACCAAATGGAGGAGGAGGAAGAAAAAAAGTATGAGAAAACAAAAATGAAAATGAGAAGACAAAAGGGAGGAGGGAGAGAGGAGGAAGGAGGAGGAAGAGGAAAAGATGAAAGGAAAAGGTAATTGAGAAAGGGAGTGCAGTAGGGGGGGGGGGGGGGAAACAAGGAAGAGAAAAGAAAAGGGTGAGGAAAAAAAGAGAATAAGAAGGAAAACAGAGAAGGAAAAGGAAAGAAAAATGAATAGGAGAAATAAAAGGGAGAAGACAAAAGAATTAGAAAAAATAACCTCTATCCTTAACTTACCTAAACATGTGTAGGATCCTTCATTATTCACACAGAACTGATTTC